ACCCACTACACACCCGACAAGCGGCACGACACACGCAGCACACACAGCAACCCCCAGTGCCCCTTAGGCACGAGAAACGGATTAACCACATACACTCCCCCTCCCCTCTCTCCACAAGTAGATTCAGACCATTCAGCGGGATGAACAGGACACTCAGTCGCAGCGAGATCGTCCACGTAGATTAACCAATCGGCCAATGAATCGACCTGCTGAGCCATCCATCTCTCCCTGTCCTTCCCTTATCCACGAAGAACCCCTGATTGTTTCTGGTGCTGGGTTCTGCCCCTTCCTCGGTCTTCTCATTCAATCCAGCCCAAGTGGGGACTGAATGAGAAGACAGCAGATGAGGCGATACCCCTCCACAAACACGCGAGCACCGAAGCAAGCGGCGGCAACACCAAATCGCAAAACAGAAAGAGAGCCGCAATTCTCTTCAGCCGATTATGCACTCAAAACAGAGACCCCTTTTGTCCCCAAGCGCCGTGCTCTCTCTGCTCTCCCTCCCTCTCTCTCTCTCTCTCTGTGTGTGTGTGTGTGTGTAATGCCGCCACGCAGTGAGTGGATCAGCAAGCAACAACCTGGACACACACACGCCTGCTCATTCAGTCAGTCAGTGATTAAGCAGTAAACGGGTCCACACACACACATCGTCTGCATGGCTGTGTCACTCAATAATGCAACAGTCCATGGTGAGTGAACTGTCCGCAGCCAGACAAGCAAGCCCGTATCCACACACACATTACACACCCCCAAAGCGCCCCCAGCAATGACCGGCATCCAGTGCGCCCATCCCTTGGGTTCCCCCGGCCACCCGGGCGAGCCCTCCAAACACGCGAGCACAACAATGGATGGATGGATGGATGGCAAACCGGTGAATGCGTGATGATGGCACCAATCAATCAGCGAAGGAGCAAGTCAGCCCAAGCCTCTCCCTCCCTCCCCCTCCCCCTCACCCCACTACGGTTAGAACCTAGCAATGCTGCACACAACACAATACAACACATCACACAGGAGGGACAGCACCAGAGAGACAGAAAGTTCCCGTCGGCTGTGCGTGCTGAGCTGGTGAGTGGGAGTGTCGTATTGCTGACCTGTCGGTGGCCCGTGTGGCCGTCGCAGTTGAGGTCACTTCTTGCGGCTGGCCTTGGGGCCCTTGTCAGCAGACTTGCCGCCCTTGCCGCCGCCACACAACTGACCAAACACCACACGCAACGATTTCACAGATGTGTGTGTGTATGTGTGTTGTGTGTTGTCTGTTCGGTATCCCCCACCTCGCACTGAATGTCTAGTCGCGATCGCAGGTCGATGGCCTCCCGCTTCTGCTCCGTGTCGACGCCCTTCTCCTCCCACATCGCTTTGGACGATATCACACACACACACACACAGAACACATGGCGCGTAAGTATGTCGGTCGGTGTGCGAGACGCCCGTACCTATGGCCTTTTCGATGTCGTCTCTCCCGCCGAAGTAGTCGTTGCCGAGCTGCTCGCGCGCCACGGCCCGCCTGAAGAGCGCCTTGATGTTGTCGTCCACCACACCCAACACGACGCTCGACTTCTCCTCGGCACGCTTCCAATCCTAAACACACAGACACGAGTTCCCCTTGATGCATGCATTGCTGTGTGTGCTGGTGGGTGGGTGCCCTTACGTACATACCTTGAGGCGGTTGTAGCCCTCGGCGCAGTTGGAGTTGCACGCAATGAACTGCATATATGAGACACACACACACGCATTCCATTCATCGATCGGGTCCGAATATCTCACTGTCTGTCGGTCGGTCTGTCTGTCTCCTGCCCACCAGGTCTGAGACGGTCTTGTTGAACGCTGTGAGGTCGACCACGCCGTTGATCGGTGCAGCCGCCGCCTTGGCCAGCTCGTCAGTGTCCTTGGGGGGCGGAAGCGACGCGCACGGCAGGGACTCCAGCAGCTTCAGCGCCGCCTCCCACTTGGCCACCGCATCGCTGACACACACCACACACCGTGACAGACAAGAGACCACACATAGATGCGTGAATGTGTCGATTGGTCTGTGGTGGGTCATTTTGTCGTGCCTGCCCTGCCTACCGGATGCTGTTGATCTGCCAGAAGCCGTCGCCCCTCTTCTTGGTCTCGGCGGCCCTGACACACAGCGTCTTGAACGCAGAGCTATCCATCCGCGACGCCGCCACATCACCACTCCCTCCCCCGCCCTCTCCATCACGTAGCCCCCCGCCCGCCGTCGCATCGGTGCCGTTGGGTGTGCTCGCAGCCGTGCTCGACACCCCCGTGGCGCCCCTGCCGGTCTTGTCCGTGGCGGTGCCGTTGGCTGTGGGCGTAGGCGGCTTCTTCTTGCCCTTCCTGGCGTCCTTGCCCTCCTCTGCGATGGGCTCGAGGGTCAGGGCAGGGGATGACGACGTCTTGGCCGGGACAGCAGCGGGGTCCTCGGACGGCAGAGTCTCGCTCGCCGCCTTGTCCTTTTGCTTCTTCTTGTCTTTCTTCTTTTTCTTGCCGGTGGCCGCCGCCTCGGGGGCGGTCTCGGCGACGGCGGGCTCGGGGGTGGCCTCCTCCTCCTTGCTGGTGTCATCCTGCTCCTGCTCTGACTCGGTGTCCGACTCGGCGATGTGGGCGAAGGTGTTGCGCATGGGGTCGTTGCGCAAGTCGGACAGGGTGGTCTTGGGGCGCGCGGGCTCCTTCTTGGGCCGCCTCTCGGGAATAGTGGGCTTCTCGAGCACACTCTTCTTCTCATCTGGCTGCTGCGGCTTCTTCTTTTCGGGGATGACGTCGCTGGCCGACCGCTTCACCGCCTTCTTGCCATCCTTGTCCTTCTCCTTGGATTTCTCCTTCTCCTTCTCCTCGACAGCGCCCTTGTCCTTGGCACCGCCGCCCTGCTGCCCCCCTTGCTGCCCCTTGCCCTTCTTGCCACTCTCGCCCACTCCTCGGCCGATGATCGTCGGCTTGCCGCCAGCACTGGCGGCCGGCCGGTCAGCAGTCTTGGCGGATACTGTGGTGGAGGGCTCGTGCGGAGACCCCCAATTGGCTCGGCTGCCGACGGCCACCGATGGGGGGGTGAGGATGCGGGGCGGCGGGAATGATGTGTCTTTGGGCTGTTTGAGGGAGTCGGAAGATGACGCGCCTGACGCTGATGCGGCGATGGCGATGGGTGGGGTGGAGGTGGGGACGGGGTCGGCCGGCTTGGCGGGGATGGGGAGTGTGGGAGGGAGGGGTGCAGAGACTGTCGATGGTCCTGGCACAGACTCGGGTGGCTGTGTGCTCTGGAATTCATCATCCTGAAAGACACCAACAGACACACAGACACAGAAGTGATAATGAGAACCTGTGCTGTGCTGTGAGTGAGTGATTGTCTTTTGTCTGTTGGTCACCTCGAATATGGGTGGCGGCTCGGGTATCTGGGACTCGTCAAACTCCTCCTCATCGTCACCCTCCAGCCCCCCATCCCACCCACCACCATAACCGTTGTGCAGACCGCCGTAACCTGACGCAGATGACGCAGCAGCTGCAGCTGCAGCGGCCGCAGCCCCGCCCCCATACTCGCCAACATCCCCACCAAGCAATGCATCAGACGAGTGGTGGCCCAGATCAACTCCCTGATGCGGGTGGCCGATGGTGTCGAAGAAGGGCGGGTCTGATGAGCTCCTTGAGGGCTCCTGCTGGCCATGGCCATGGTCATGACCATGTGATGATGGTTGAGCTATGTCGAGGAAGGCCTGGAGGCCGGGCGGCATTGCCTGGGAAGGGGCGGCGGCTGCCTGCTGCTGTTGGTTGGACATGACTGTCTGCATGCCAATCGACAAGTATTGCTCCAGGTCGGCCTCGCTCAGCCCCCACTGCTGCATCATCCGCTGCACCACACCCCCGACCCCAATTTCCCCCCCGGCTGCAGAACCCGCCGCCATGGCGGATGGCGATGGCATAAACGACGACGCCACCCCCGGCAGCGCACTCGACGTCGACGACGAGCCGGGCGAAGCCGACGGCACGGTCGTCATAGCGGTGCCCCCTCCGAGCAGCCAGTCGCGGCGGGAATCCTCGGGGGACGACTGCAGAGGGGAGCTCTCCAGGTCGACTCGGCCATAGGGGCTGCTGGACGGCCGGAACAACGCATCCACGGACGACGACGCGGCCGCTGCGGCCGCTGCAGGTGTAGGTGCGGGTGATGGTGCGCTGGGGGCGCTTGGTTCCGATGTCGGCGCGTAAGGGCCGAAGCCCGACATCTCGCTGACGCGCTGGGCGATGGCAGCCGGGATGGTGGTCTCCATCTGTCTGCCCTCCTGCTCAGTCACCTGGAAGATGTACGCCCGCAACGCCGCATTGTCATCCAGCAACCCGCCACCATTGCCACCCCCAATACCACTCCCAATCCCCGACGGTGGTGGAGCCGGCGCTGCCGCAGATGACCCCAATCCGTTCAGCCCGTTTGCCAGTGCGCTCGCGTACGTGGCGACGGGCGCGTAGCCGCCAATCGGCGCGTTCATACCCGGCTGGCTCAGGAGGCCTGATGAGGATGCGGGGGAGGGTTGGGCGGGGAGGGGGGGTGTGGGTGCGACAGCTGCCACCGCTGCTGCAGCAGCAGCGGGGAGGGCTCCGTCGGCTGCAGCAGTGGGTGTCTGGTTGGCCGGCGCCGCGTCATCGTCAGCTGCCCCTGTCGTCCCGTCGGCGCCCTGCTGCCGGGACGAGCTCGACTTCTTCTGTCCCTTGCGACAAAATGGACAGGCCCCCCTAGACTTCTTTAAATCGGCCACACAGACGCCACAGATGGACTGGCGGCAGCAGAGCGTCTCGATCTTGACGCGGGTCGGGTGCCGGATGTCGAAGAAGTGCCCCGAGATGAAGGGCTCGAAGCAGATCTGGCAGTCCTTGTCGTAGTCGATGTCTCCCACATGCCCCGGCCTGGCTAGAGGCTGAAACAGAGCCTCGTCGCTGTCCATCTTGATCCCAGAGACACGCCACGGGGCGCCACGGGGGTCACCAATATGAAACCAACACGCCCACTAAAAGGCCGTCCGTAAGCGCCTTGGCTCCGCAGAGAGAGGGGACCTCCACACCAGCGACTCGAGATGGATGCAGCGCCTCTTGAAACACAAGAAGGGCGCCTTCTGGCGATCACAGGGGACGCTCAGCCGAGATCCCCGCAAGATCAGCAGCTGCTGCAGCCTCCCTTGTCAGGGTGGGATGTCCAGCGCCGACAGGCCACCAACCAACACTGCGAGAAAAGTTCTCGAAATGGGCCATACACACTCAGATATCGCCCTGGACGCGCCCAGCTACCCAAAACAGCTTAAAACTCCCTCCAAGACGTCCACCCCGATTCGATTCCTTTGACGTCGTGTTTGAGAGGAACTGCGGCCCTAACCCTTCGCGTGCGGACCGCCGCCTTCTGAATGCAGCCAAATCGAAGCTGAAACACCGATAGCGATTCGTCAGCACTTTCTCGGTCTGTCAGAAGCTCGCTCTGGACAGGCCCCCTCGGACCCCCACCGAGCTCGCTGTCTCTGCGGAGAGCGGCCATGCAAGATGGCTCCGAAGCGCAGCAAGAAGGCCATTGAGGAGGAGATGCGGCGGCAGGAGGAGGAGCGCAAGAAAAAGGAGGAAGAGGACCGAATCAAAGCCGAGGAAGACAAGAAGCGAAAGGAAGAGGTCAGTGAATGTGACAGATAGATAGATGCACGACGGCCTTAAGGTCTCACACATCTATACGCTGCATGTGTGTGTCGCATGCAGGAGGAGCGCCTCCGCCAGGAGATGCTCGAGAAGATGCGGGCAGAGGAAGCGGCGCGTCTCGAGGAGGAGGCGCCCAGAGTCATGGAGGCCGACAGGGACCGCCAGCAGCACCTGGAGGAGCAGCAGCGGGCCAAGAAGCAGCAGAAGGAGTGGGTCCGCTTCCAGCAGTGCTACTCGCTGCCCGATCCCCGCAACGAGAGCGACCTGACGGCGTTTCTGACCATCTGGCGTGAGGAGGAGGGCTATGGGGGTGTGGAGGGCCTCAAGGGCGGGGCTGTCGTCAAGAGCCCCATGACGTGTGCGCTGGAGAAGTGTGTCTATGCTGGTGGGTGAGACATGGACGGACGGCAGAAATGTCAGTGTGTGTGTGTGTTCGTGTGTTGCATTGTGTCAGAGGAGGTGGTTTCTGACATTCTGCGGGAGTGGTGTCGCGCCGCCGAGGGTGGGCTGACGCCACGGCAGCAATTCTGCCTCAAGTAAATCAGGACGGGCAGCGGTTTTGCCGTCCCTTCGGTGCCTGCATGCTCCTCTCCCTTTCCCCCATATCAGGTACATCAATGAGATTCGCACTGTTGAGCTCGACACCATCGACGACGCCACAGCACACCTGCTGGCGGTAAGCAACGGACAAGACCGAGGCATTCAGCACGCCGCTCGGGTCATGTCTCCCCCCCCCCCCC